AACAACACATCCATTTCAGCAAATCATTCGTTTATCGCCTTTTAAAATGTTTGTTAAGGACCTGTTAGCGTTGTACCCACCCTCCAACCTACACCCCCTCCCCATTTTACCTACATCCAATGGGACCCCGGAACTCACAGAGGCTAGTAACTGACACCGCAGCAGCAGTATAGTATTTTAACCCTAATTAACATGTCGGCTGTGTGGCTAAGACGATGCGAACGCTTCGTAATGCCGGAATGCCGGGTTCGATCCCAGCTGCGAGCCATGCGACTTGTGTTGGTTTCGACAGTTGTATCATGAAAGCTGACCGCACAGAAAGCAATGGCAAGCTACTGGAAGTAAATTTGCCTAGAAAAACCACACAACAACTAGGGGCTGTTGGGGTTGGTTCTGCAACGTCATGTAAAGGATACGCAACTAACCTTATTAACGTACTCTTGGCAGGTAACAGAACAGGCCAGCTTTCACATCAGCTTCTTGTAGCTTTTTATTCAATTGATAAGTAGGCTGGTAGTTCAGGAAACAAAGATCGATATGCATTAGATTTTAAAATCCACTTGTCGATTCATAATTGTACTTATATAAAGGAATGTTGCATTTCCTATGCATTTTTATTTAATAATCATACTTCACAAAACAGTTCAATATAGGTTGTGTTCTCAACACACAAAGCGATCGAACATGGCTGTAGACACGCCGATCAGCTAAGAAAGTCAGCTTCACGGATATGACGTCACGGGAACTCTATTTGGGACAATCTTCTTCTTCCCTAGGACTCGTCATACTATACAACAGAATTCTCTGGAAAGAACACGTGACCGAAGCTTTCCAGGGGTATCGCCATGGAGAAAAACGTTAGAAGGAGTGCCCCACCCCCTCTAGTAATTTTATTGTGCATCCAAACAAGGCCCAAAGTCCTCGAGGTCCCCATGAATATTTTGGAGAAAGCAATGTGTGGTTGGGGGCGGGTGGGAGTTGTTCAGTGACAATGAGCTTAATTCGTGTTCATAAGTTATTATTATTCTTATTGTATTAAATATTATAACGAATTTATAAACAAACATTTTGTGGGGCTGTTGGATGTTGGCAATAACATACTTGAAATGGGAACTTAAAATTAATAACGTCTTTATATTATAAATGGTTAGAGAGTGTCCGGGTCACAGATGCTTGCAAAATCTGGGAGACCTACTATTCCCCCCCCCCCTGCCTCTTTGAGCAGTTATTTTAGGGGCGGGAGGGAGTACCTGCACTTCTAGGTTCCAGCGCCGCTGAAACCATCTGATTTATCACATGGCAACATATTATATAAAGCGGCATCATTCCGCACATCCGCCTAGTGTATGCTGTGGGATCACCTTGACCTTTTACAAGTGATTGTTAGCATATCACTGCAGGCAGAGACCTGCCTTAAAGACTACTAAAACATTCTAGGAAAAAATTGTGCAAGTATTTATCGCTAAACATACAAGACAGCTACAGAAGTGGTAATTACAAGACACACTGAAGTACTAGGGGATACACAGTTGGAAAATTAAACCACCGCGGTGAGAACATGTAACCAGTAGTGACTGCGTGCTCAACCTCGCCACGATGACGCCCTGTACTTTTTATGAAACCATGGTGCTCCTTGAGTCACATGACAGCAGGGGCGCTGACTCGAGGGAAGAGACCTGCAGTGTATGCCATACATACATTACTTTAGAACACTTTTTGCTGGAGTGTAGATGTTTGAGGTTCTATCAGTTTTTTTTAAAATACGGGTAGTAACTCGTAAGTGCTCCGTTCTTCTTCTAACTCAGGTCTGAGTCTGAAGAAGCTCAACACAGTGCACCGTCGAGGATCCTGAACTACGTTGGGTAGATTCTTAACTCTACATTTTGCCCGGGCAGCACCGTTAGGTTATTATTTTTTTTTTTTCGATTTCCAACTGCCAAGGGATTTTTTACGTGCGCAACAATGCACTCTAATCTCACCGCGGTGAATTACTAGATGTCCAAGTCCACGTTAAAAATTCCAGCCCTTTCTGGGGATTGAACCCGGAACCTCTAGTACTCGAGGCGGACACCATGCTTCGAGACCACGCAGTTCCCTCTTGCTGGGTTGTTAAAAACCTGTAGTGTTTAGAAAACTGAAATCTTAACAGCAACAAGTGGTTTGTTAGGACGAGAAATTCATCTGACAACTTAGTAACAGATGGCAAACTTGCCGGTGTAATAGCAGCAAGAAGACAAAGAAATAAAAAAGGAGATGGGTTGGTCATATTACATGTTCTGGACATGAACTCATACCTGACCTCAGACTCAGAGACGCCGGTACAATAAAAACATAGCGGGAGCTTAGCTACAGTGTTAATTTTCTAAAAGTGGATTGAACCCGGAACCTCTAGCACTCGAGGTGGACACCATGCCTCGAGATCACGCAAACCCCCTTGCTGGAGTGTAGGAAATACGCAAGTCAAAGGAAACCATTACCTGTCTTAATAATTCTCTGTAAATTACTAATGACGATGGAAAACTTCTGCACATAAACAGCCCAAGAGAGCTGCGTGCCAAGGTCCTACAATTTGTTACCGGGACTTAAATCCATAAATAGAAGGGTAAAGAATGCCAGTGGTATCTTTAAAGAAGTTTCCCCTAAAGATACAATTTAGGAGAATAATCAATGACTGCACACTAAATAAATACAAATTGAACATGTTTATGACACAACGTTGGTAAAATTGTCTAATCATTCATAGTACAATGTCTATCATAATCACAACACAAATCAAAGTCAAATGTGAAACGATTCAAATTACTTTTTGGGTCATATAAATAATTACACGACAAATAAATTTAAAATAACAATGATATACTCTGAGAACTCAATTAACATTATACATCACATGAAGGAAAATAATTATTTTTGGGTCTCCACAACATGATGCAACTGTGTTTTAAAGGGTCGCGGCATTACAAAGGTTGAAAACCACTGTTCTAAGAGTTCTCACATATTTTAATCCATAGGTTCTCAACATGTGGGTCGCGACAACATGGGGGTGGGGGGGGGGGGTGTGTCAAACAACAATTTCACAGGGGTCGCCTAAGACCATCGGAAAAAACGTATTCACTGAAGTTATATAGTAATTATAAAGATAACTTTATTGTTGGGGTGTCAGCATAACGTGAGCGATTGAAGGGTCGCCACATTAGAAAGGCCGAGAACCACTGCTAGACCCGTGCCTCACCACCCCTAACCTTCCAGTTACTGTTAAATTGACTGGTTTAGGTTGGTTGCGTATCCTTTACAGGACGTCGCAGAACCAGCGTTGGTTTTTGTAGGCAAATTTACGTCCAAGTAGTTTGCCATTGCTTCTGGACGGTCAGCTTTCTTGATACCACTGTCGAAACCAACGCAAGTCGCAAGGCCCGCATCCCGGCATTACGAAGCGTTCTCATCGACTTAGCCACAGAGCCGACAAATTGACTGGTACCAGTTTGAATGATGTTAGGTCAATCTCAGAGCCATACAGTTTGCGACAAAGACAAAATTCATCAACCGGTGTTATTCCTGGACCATTCAGTGAGTAGTCAACAGCACCATCAACTGTGCCACAACACCCCATGCGTGGTATGGCGTCTATTACTGTATTTAATCAAAAATTGTTGTGCAAAATAAAGCTAGAATAGCCAGTGTTTTGATTTCTTTCACCAGCCAGTTTAGGATATGGTCATAAATAGTTAAGCCCTTTCCCCGTTACTGTTAATTTCTAGGCGTGTCTCGAAAATAAAAATAAAAATAAAGTACGAAATAGGCACGCCGAGACTGGTCAAAATCGAAAGATAGCAGGTGTTAAAAATGTTAATTATACTGGCTTTTAGGGTTGGTCGTTATCCAGGTCAGTTGCCAGATTCCGTTTATTCAACTCCCACTGTCAAAAGACAAAACGGTTTAATAATGACTTTTAATAGTATGTATGGTTTTTATGCGCAAAAGCCAGCACATTTATACATAAATGTTTTTAACGGATTATATAACAGTCATTACACACTTAAAAAAGTATGTGAACATGCAAGGCTAGATATAACATCTTTAACAAAGAAAGACGCGCGACAGTGTATTTATTGATAGTTTCAAAATACACGCTGGCAGGCAAACAATACATTAAAAAAGGCAAAACTACATAAAATACAAGATGCTCTAAGAAAATTAACGACTTTAACAATAAAATAAATGAGATAGAAAGATACCAGGAACATAGACATAAAACAAATGTAGGATGTGTGTCCTTGATAACTTATTCGCCAGATGCGGCTGCGTGTTCAAAGGCTAGCTTCACGCAACCTGTCGACCAATCAGCGGGAGTGGTTGTTTACTTCTGCTGCTAGATAGAGAATGCATTGAAAGACGAAACGGCGACTGGCGACAAGATTTGTCATAATTTACTGCAAATATTATGTTTATTCTTTTATAAATCATGTTGATCTTGTTGTTATCAAGGGTAGTTTCCGATGGAGTTATTAATCAATGGTGTGTCGAAGATGCTGAGTTGTTTTACCCGTGAAACCTTGTGCTGGGTTCAGCGATCAGAAACGGAAAATGGAAATTACGGACGTTTGTCCAGTTGTGTGGACAAAAATAGGATTTTGAGTATTAGAATGTCTTTGGAGCGGGTTTAGAATGTTTAGCCACATAAGAATGTTAGGCATGACGTGAAGGGAGAATTGTATTGCTGGTTTAGTTGTGAAATTAGTGTTCATTTGTTGGTTATAAGCGGTTTTATTATCACATTCCAGTGAGGTGTTCTGACAAATCATTCGCGAGATACCAGTTTTTGTTATGGATGTATCATGATATTGGTGGGTCTTGGATGTGAACTTAGTAACAACTCACCGTTATTACTACAATACTACAGACTGATTCATAATATTATTCTGTGAGATTCAAAGGAAGGGCATTTTGTGTATGTTCAGTTTTGATTTAATAATTGGATCAAGAATTAATTAACTGGCAGGATGAGAAGTAAAAGCGAGTTGATGTTTTTCCCATTCATTCTGGTGATGATTGTGTCAGTGACTGTTGGTAGTAAACAGTTACAGTGTGGCGAAGATGAAATGGCAAATTTCCAGAACCCACCAGATGGAGGTAAATACATACATCTAAAATGTTTGCTGTGCTGCTTAACATATTATTGATACTGAGATAATACTATAAGATTTACTATTTTATTATTCCTTATTAAATTGCACTAACTATTTCTGCCAACCTTACCAGTGTTCAACTTTTAAACATGGATGGATCCAAATTTAGTTACTACAGCCAGTCACAGTGAGCACATAATCATAACAGGGACAAGGTGTATTAGAAGAACTGCTATTGTAACAATCAACAACAAATTGAAGAAATTAGAAGAAAATTACATCCGTTAAACATTTCTTTGAAGAGCAACAGATGAGATGGTTTGACCTTCTGATGAGAATGACTTGGTACTAACTGCCAAAGAGTGGCAAAAGAAGAAAAATAATAAACTAATAAACTTTATAAAACTATAAATACAGTCAGATTTGAAATGGATGACTGCAAAATATGGAACAACGACATAACAATCTTATCGAAAACAAGATCAGCTTATACAATAAATAGAAAAAACACAACATACTTATCCCTCTTCTCTCCCACCCAACACCTAATGATGTTACAGAACTGGAGGAAGAGAAGAAGAAATTGCAGTTTTTCTTTAGGATTTTTTTTTTTTTAAAACACATGAAGGCTTAGCTTCACATTTCCAAGTGTTTTGGTAAAAAAAAAATAGAAGGCAGTTAAACTTTAATGATCATCGTCCTACTGACATTTTTTAGACTAGTAAGCATGCAGTGGAGGATGTAATTAAAATCATAGCGATGTATCGCAATGATCTTTTAGCAGAACAATTATAACTCGTATAATACTGTGTCAGAAATTTGAAAGGTTGTCATTCATTGGATTCAATCTTACTGCTACATACCTAAAGTTTAAAATGCAGATAATTAGCAGAAGTATAAGGAAAGCTACCACAGCCTGACATAAACGTAACCTGTCATTAAATTCATAAGAAGCACTTATAAAATGTTACTGGAATTGGCCTCCAGACCACCAGAAAGATGAATTAATAGTAATTCTCTGAGTTTGCCTGAGACATAATACGTTGTAATACCATTTTTAAGAGAAGTTAAAAATAGGAGATGATGATTGAATAATTCTTTCATTAGGTGTATACCTGTTGACTTTAAAGATGTATGAAATAGAGAAAAAGGTGGGGCTCTAAAAAAACAAAACACACTGTTTTGACATCTCCTTTGACACCAGAAAAAAAAAATTGTGGCACAGATATATCTGTCAGTAGTATCTCAGTGAATTTTTGAAATAGTATTGGAATGCTGCTTATGCAATGATAAATAGCTATAGCATTTAAGGATTTCAGTATTTGTGGTACTGGTTGGATGATCATATAAACTAACTATGTTGTATAAACCAGGTCAGTATGACCGGTGGCTAGCACTTGCTGTCACCATTAATCATTATATGTCATGCCTGCAGCAGAATCATGGACTAATTGATCATGAAATGTTCAAAGAATTGGAAGTCATACTAAGGAGTTGAAGAGCCAGAACAAATACTGTAAAAGGCAAGAATAGGAGACCTTAATAATATATATAAAAAAATTATTGACAGTTGGAAAGAATACTGTTGAATTAACCCTCACATTGCTGTGGACATTCCCAAAGGTGCTGCGTCCGCATCTTCAGCAGCAAGCAGAGAGTTCCAGTTCCAATATACTTTCCATCTTTCCTTTCCTTTCAGTGTTGTTTTTCATCCAGATTCTCCCCGAGATTCCTCGCAGCACCATTCTCCTCAGACCATGATGATCCATTTTTGCCACACTATTTACTCACTCCCAAAGGACCCTTACGACATCTAGCTTGTCAGGGCGTGCATCAGTTCACCACTGTATGGTGCAGAACCAGCCATTCTCTATCTCTCTTGTATCTTAACACACCAGACTAACCTGAAGAATATACAATGGACTGACTAACTATCTGGGACCTCTGATACAATGCTTACCACCCTGAACGGAGCATATCTGCTTCCACCTTTCTCAACATGCTCTATGAGTCTGTTAAAATTATCTCATATGTGTTCAGCTGATTCTTAAGCCAGCGGAAGGCTGCAGTGATTGCCTTCATTTCTGTTTTCAGACTAGATGTGGTATCATATGCAAGCTTTTATGCACTGTACAAAATTCATTCACTTTTGCTATGAATCCCCATACACTTTGTCTGCCTCTTAACACAGAGCCATCTTTGTAGATAATCACATCACTTGGGCGAGAATTATGAATCATTTGTTAAACTTCTGATTCTGCGGCAGCCCCTAGCCAGTCCCTGCACACTGTGATTAGACCTCTGCACAAGTCTGATTGCAGCTCAGACACTTAGACCCTCTTGTCTCCTCGCTCAGTAATATCAAGTGTGCACACATCTAATTGTGTTTTCAGCTTGCACTAACTAAAACCTTCCTCTTTTTAGTCTGTGACCCTTAGCTGTACCTTTGTGCTTCATGCAAGAGGTATTCCTTTCTGCGACTACTCTAGAGATACAACTTTGCTTGCAGCACTTTTAAACCTATCTTTAAAAGTTGGCAGTGCAAGTATGTATCACATACATACTACTTGGATGTCTTTTGTACATCCCAAAATTCCCCTCATGGCTTCATTCAAAATGGGTTTATGTTTCATGAGCTGACTCTTTGATTTAGTGAGCATTTAATTTCCATGATCTGTCACCGAGAGGATCGCATGCTGGAACATTATGAACAGCATTGTTAGTCCCATGACCACTGCAGCCATAATCTTGCATGCATTGAGTCCTTTTTGGCATTTCGCTGCAACTGCCTTGCCTTTCCATGATCAGATATACAGATTTCTGTTAAACTGATACCCAGTTACCTGTTTACTTTTTCTTTTGACATTTCCGTCACTAATTCCATCAGTTCTTACAATCCTATTGTTCACAGTCACTGGTTTTTTCCTGGGTTGATACACAGCGCCCATCTCTGCACACTAGTTAGTGACTTTGTCTAGTTACCTGTAGCTCTTGGGCTGTCTGTTGCTTATTGACCTCCTGCCTGTATGCAAGAACATCATCCTTCCAACCCCCAGTGCTTCAAGTTGTTCTTGCTTGTAAAAATATTAAAGATCACTGGTGAAACTGCAGAACACTGGGATGGTCCGGGGGAGATATTGCATTGTTCTGAGGTCCATATACAGGTCCAGAGGGCAGCCATGTGTGAATGAAGGGGCAGACCTCCATCTTCATAACCACAAATATCCAAAAATCAGATTTGACTCTGTTGTAGGCATCCTCAATATTTAGTGATATCAGATTTGACTGTTGTAGGCATCCTCAATATTTAGTGATATCAGATTTGACTCTGTTGTAGGCATCCTCAATATTTAGTGATATCAGATTTGACTCTGTTGTAGGCATCCTCAATATTTAGTGATATCAGATTTGACTCTGTTGTAGGCATCCTCAATATTTAGTGATATCAGATTTGACTCTGTTGTATGCATCCTCAAGATTTAATGCTGCCACTATCGTTTCTCGTCTATTCTGAAACCCCCCGTAATCATCAAAAGCAAAAGTGGCTTCATTTTGAACATATATTTTTCCTAGCTGGTAACTGCCCAGTCTTCTTGGAGGAGCTCATTTCTTTAAAAATGGCAGGAAAAAAGCCAGAGCTAATGCTAGATTAGGTTGGCAGTAGGAAAACATTTTCAGAGTGTTACACCATTGCAGAGTTGATTAAAGCTGATAGATAAAATGTGAAAAAGTATCATACGTTATGTTAAATAATTAAAAGAAAACAGTTCTAGATTCAACTCAGTCTTCTTAACATTAGTACCATCTCAGTTTTCTGGAAATTGTCTGGGAAGAAAAGTTAAAGTGGAAACAGACCACTCCATATCATGGGTTGTGGCAGGAAATATGGAAAGACCTAACCCTGTAACAACATCACATGGGTGCATATTCATATCATCCTGCAATGTCATTTATTGATCACATAGAGCTCACATTCAGTCATTCAACTCTCTCCTATCAGTTCTTTCTATATTATGGAATCTAGCCCAACACTTCTGGCTTCTCTCCTGAGCGTTAGTCACAGGTTGTTTTTTTGTATGTCAGTTTTTTCTCAGTAAAGTTTCTGCTTTGTGATCACAAATATGTGTTATATCTCCTACATTTAAAAAGAGTTAAATTAATTTTACTGGACTGATACAGTTACATCTACAAATAATGAAGCACAGAAGCTCACTTTCTTTTCATTGCAATGTAAAAATCACCTTGTCTGGATATATTGTTCATCTGATCGAAGGAAGATCAGGATAGTCACGTGCTATTAAAATAATCACATGGTTTACAATGCCAAATTTAAATTTACCAGGAATTTTCTTTTGCTTGTGTGAAGGGATATTGATAGTCTTTATTTTTGTGGTTACTAAAACTGTCAGAATTGTGTATAACATAACATAACCCTTGACCCATTAGAGTCGGCGAGGTGTATTGATGGAAGCACTAGCACATACAACCCACCATCTTTCATTCTTCTGCTTGATGAATAAGTGTATAACTTAGTCCTGTCTATTTCTTGATGGTAGTGTATGATAACTTAGTCCTATTTCTTGATGGTGTCATTCAAGGTTCTTCTTTGCCCTTCTCTTCTTTGACTATCCCCCAATGTTCCTTGTCTTTGCAATCGAATCATGTCTTACCACGTGCCCAAACCAAGCTAGCTGGCCACGTTTCACCACTGCCAGGAGAGGCTCCTGATGTCCCACAAATTTGTGTATTTTGGCTCTGACATATTTATTAGTTTTGTGTTCTAAATAACTCATTTGTAAAATGTGTATAACAGGGCTGTTCAGCTAGATTTAGTCAGGGACCAAAATTTAGAAAATGAGGATTCTCAGGGGCCCAACGCCCAGTCCCAACTTAAAATGAGCGTTTATACAATTCAACTGGCAGGTATTTCGGGTACCGCATGTTAGACCTTCGCGGGCCATATTTGGCCCGCCGGCCGCCAGTTGAATAGCCCTGATGTATAATATGACAATTTTGAATGTCATACTTTCCTGTAAATGTATTATCACATTTATTTTTTATTTTGTATTTACAGTATGCAGTAGTATGCACATCAGAAGAAACATGAGCCAGTTTCGCAAGCTGGAAAACTGCACTGTAATAGAAGGATTTCTACGCATATCACTGATAGAGAAAATCAGCTCCGAGGAATATGACAAGTGGAGCTTTCCTGAGCTGCGGGAGATTACAGATTATCTTACACTTTTCCGTGTTTATGGGCTGAAGTCACTGAAAAAGCTGTTCCCCAACTTAGCAGTCATCGGAGGGCGCCAACTGTTCAACAACTATGCTCTGGTGGCTTTTGAAATGACAGATCTGGAAGACCTCGGGTTGGTGAGTTTGCGCACCATAAGCCGCGGCGGGGTTAGAATTGCCAAGAGTAAAAAGCTGTGCTATGTGGATACAGTGGATTGGGGTCTTCTGGGTGTAGACCCTTTAGCACAGGATTTCAGAGACAACAAGGAGGAGAGCCAGTGTGCAAATTATTGCCCCAAGGAATGCCTAACAACAAAAGTTGGAAATGTTGAAGCTAAACGTTGTTGGACATCAGAACACTGTCAGCTAGGGCTCAGTAAGTAATTATTGTCTGTGGTTCGTTATTTTCGCTTTTAGTCAGATGTCAGCTGCACATTGAAGGTTAGCTGCAGTAGGCCAAATGCTCTTTCTCTTGCTCCGATTATATGCTCCCTAAGACTGCTGTACATCCATTTCTTGATATCATCATCCCACTTATGTCACTTTCTACCTCTTGGTTATAAGCGTCAGCTTTTTCCTCCAGCATGTTTTTATGTCTTATATATATATCCTAATATTTCTCAAATAATTTAAATAAATAAAATTAATTTTTTGGGTGATTGGTCACCCCTCCAAACGTCATCTCGGTATCCTAATGTCTCTAGAGCCATATGTCGAACACCACGCTAACAGAAACCTTGACTCCTTGGTTAACTGTTATCTAAAATCAAACTCCTTTTTTTACATACACAGTAATAGTAACGCATAAGGTTATCCTCAGTGGGTAATTTATAGTCAACAGATCTTAAGTCAACTTTACTTCCCATATTTTCTGGTACTTTTTTTAAAGGCTTGGTTGGATGGCAAGATCGATTTTGATGTAGATTCAAACTTGAGACCTTTAGACTAGCAGGCAAGCATCTGGCCTGTGCTGTTGTGGCTCCTATTTTTATTTGCAAACCGTAAAACTTCCAAGCCTTTTCTGATCATTGATCCTCTTTTAAATCTACATATATGAAAATACATGGCATTTTGAAATAAATTCACAGGGAAACAGAAACGAAAAATCAGCAGTACTGTTATTGAAATATTAATTAGCTGATTGTCATAAAAAAGAAAACAAATTAGTCTCTAGAGTGCTTGCATGGAATTTGACAGTATGAATTTCTGTTTCGTATGTTGAAATGTAGCTATAGTGATGTTATCAAATTTCTGCTGCCTTCAGATAGTTCTGGTATTTTCTGCTTATTATTCACATTTCAAATAGTATGTATTAACAGTATAGTTTAAATATGACACTTAACACACCTTTTCTGACTTGATAGCTTCCATATTGTCAAAAACTATGTTTATACTGTTCATGCGTTCATCACAGGGCATTTCAGATTGTTTTAAATTTGAACAAAGCAGAAACAGACAAGATTGCAAAGTTTATTTCCTGGAATGCCTATGCCATTATTTGTATGATATTGTGACTTGTCACCGGATTAATCATTTGTGTGGTCAGTCTATCTTTTTGTTTTGAGGCATCATCCTTACTTTTATCGTCTTTACTTCTGATAAAATCGTTTCCCGTTTCAGTTAGTCTGGTATATAATTTTTAAATTTCTTCTGCTCTGTGGGGTCCGCAGCTTAGGGTGTAGAAAAACAGACCCAGTGCCACCTTAAACGAGCATGTTATAAAAGTTAGTTGTGTATCCTTTACAGAACCAACCCCAGCTGTTTTGGCTGTTGTGGTTTTTCTAGGAAAATAGTGCATTAAATAGTTTATTTGTTAGCTGTTGGTACCACTGTTAAAACCAATGCAAGACAAATTGTCTGCTGCTGGGATCGATGCTGGCACCCTGCATTACGAAGCCTGTTTGCAACACTTAAGCCACAGACATTATTAAAGACATTTCATAAAAGGGGGCTAATTAGGGGTTTGCTGAAATAAGATATTTAAACAAGTTTAAAAAAAAATATCTATATATAGATATATTTGAAAGGTGAGGATATCACACTCTAGCTGTAAACCACAACACAGTATGTCAGCCACCCTTTTAAGGGCGAACACAGGAGAAGCAGATTTTGTGATTTGCTTTATTTCAAATTCTCAGTTTCCTGACATATTGTCTGCATACATGGGTCCTCGGTATCCATGCACTGGTGACATTTTTTTCTTTCTTTCTTTTTTTAAAAATCTTGGTCTCCTCTCAGTTTTTTCGTTTTTCTGTGCATTGTTTGTTTCTTTTATGCTTTTGTCAGTAATACTTAAATCTTTTTCCTTGTTGCATTTCATTAGCAAAATTAGTTGGTTCAACCTGGAGATGTTATCCATGTTACCGACACTCACCATCCGTGGGAACGTTCATGCAGTCATGGGAACTGCAACCTGGTCTCTCAGCATCTGGTAGGCCCTCAGATTTGGCCTAGCTCCCAAATTATTGTTGGGTTGGAAGCAGCTACCGCGTGCAGCCATATATAGACGTTCTCTTTTTAAACATTTGTTTATACATTTAATACTTTTAAAAATATAGTTAAAGCTCATTCCAGCCATCCAAAAATCAAGAACAAATTGAGATTTTTCGTTTTGGAAAATGTGTGGCACTTTTTTTTTTTTTACGCCAGTGGAAAAATGGTTACTTTTGATCGTGATACTGCAGTCAGTCATCATCAGGTGCTTTGCCCACTGGCGTGAATAATCTCCCTCTTCATCCATGGTAATTTGACCTAATCCATTCAGAAGTTATAACACAGAGTTCTTGTCTCTCCAGCTCCAATTCTGGGTTTGTATCCTGTATTCTGACCTGGTATCCCGAAAAGACTTGTATACATATACACTAGTATCCTGAGGTTCAAATGTATATTTTATAATTGCCATTCTGCACATAATAATCATAATAAAAATATTATTAAAGAGCAGTCTAAAACCATAATTTTTGGGGAAAAGGGGTTTGGGGGGGGGGGGGCAAATGGCTTGAGTCTTGTTTAATTGTGAAAAACAATTAATTATCAATTAACAATATTAATAATGGTTATTATAGCACAGTTGAACTTGCCTAAGCTCACACACACAATAAGAACAGTGTTTTCTCTGTGACAGCGCACATACATTTAGTACCCAAACAAATAACCTGTGTGTTGTTAGACAGAGGAAAATCTTTATATAAGAAATTTTTTAGGGGCTGATTTAAACATTCGTCCTTACTACAAGAAATAAGCTCAGAATGATAACAACAATGATAAGCTGCTGGAATAACAAAAAAAGATATAATCAAAAATGAAGAAAACTAGGACTGAAACTAGTTACACAGTTCATATAGGAGCAGAAATATGGTGGTTTGGCCATCCGATGAGAATGTCCTGGTATGACCTGCCACAGAGACAAAGAGCCAAGCTAAAGAAACACAATGAATACATAACAAGGGGAGGACCACACACCAGATGGACCAATGGCATCAACGACAGCCTTAAAGAAATACAGGTCACTTATACAACTACAGAAAAATCATAAAGAAGATCCCTAATATCTCCTGCCTTCCATCAGCACTTTTATGAGGGAACTGTAGGTGAATAATGATACTAATAGTAATAAGTCAGATGGATTCTACTTAAGTAGCAGTACATGTGTTTGTTTCTTTTAGTTGTCACTTTCCAACTGACTGTCATATACCATTCTTGTAGTGCCGCTACAGTCAATTGTAGATAGAAATATTTGGCGTAATAGAGGAGTTGCCTGTTTTACTATAATATAGCACACAAACGTTTATGAATGTTCACCGAAGCTTTTTTTCCGGCAACAGCAGTTCTATAACAATTTACTGTTTGTAACACACATTGTCTTAGTAATGCCACTGTAACGGAATAGTGGCTGGTTTGTTTTTCTCTGATTGTACTGCCCTTTCATGTATTACGATATAGGCTGTTCCATTCTTGAAATGTAGGGAATGTTTCTGCCTGCCCTTTTTTTTCCGCCGGAAAAAATAATTGCGGGGCAGAACTTTCTGAATGTCTCTCGTATTTGCCTCAATTTCCCACCCCTTTAACCACATCCGACTTTCAGTCGCAAAATACACACACGCGCGCACGCACACACACACACACACCCTACAAGGAGGCCGCCAGTTTTCTCGTCCCAAAATTGTTTTATTTCTAATCCGTGGCTAGTCGGGGCAGTCAGTCGTTGATGATACACAAAATCTCCTTTTCTCGTTTTCTTTTATTCCCACAGGTCTAAATCCAATTATTTCATTGAGGATGATTTTGTCCAGATGCGTGCACACACACACAAGTATGCGCACACGCCCATCTAGTCAGACCGTTGTTTTGTGTGTGCCTTTTTGACATGTTTTTAATGGTGGGGACGTGTCCCTCCTCCCACGCGTTGATGTGATAACCGCCTTTACTTTCCATGTGATTTCCTTGTACTAATTTGAGCCTGGGCCCGCTTTGAAGCATTAAGCCATTATAGAAACGCCCAACCCGAGGTTTCGAATCCAGGACCTATGTCCAGGTCGACAAACATGAGTGTAGCCAGTGCGTCTTCCATTTCCATTACACGCGCATGCAAAGTAAACAACACACACACACTTGCTGGGGCAGCCAGATTTATTGAAATAATAAAAAAAAAAAAAAGTGACGACTGGTTGTTTGTTTGCAACGAAATTTTTTACTAGGCTATAACATGTACATAATTAACAGAGTAAATTTACTTCATCGAAAAAAAAAATTTGAGATAAAACAAAAACGGAGCAATCCTGTTGAAACGAATAAGTAAGAAGAAACTTCACAGGGGAGCATGTACAGCAGGAGTCTACCAATCATCAGTAGAAGTAATCTCTGGTCGACAAATGTTTCGGCCCACGAGCTCCTATACATTTTCAGAGAGTGGGCTCACCTGAGTTCATGAAGGTCGGGGTTGATTTTCTCCTGCTGCACGTATTACCGGTTTTCAGACAGGGACAAGACGAAATTGGTGACTTTGCAAGAGGTACTGTGAAATACATAGTCGTTGCGCTAGCATAATTAGAACAATCAGCTTACCTGGGCGACCAAGTGGCAAGCTTACGGTTGGTTTATCGGACACATGTTAGACTTTGTTGGCAGTTGACAGAGGGACACTGGCAGACAGTTCGGACACGATGGACTTTAAGGGAAGTGTATAGCAACCCTAGAACACACTTGTTTTTCACCTAAAAATGAACATGTAAAATTAAAAGTCAGTTTGTGAATTCATAAGCAGTGGTTCATGGTTAGAGTTGAGCAAAGACCGCAAAGGATCCTTCTCACACGTTTGACACAACGGACCTGTGGCGCCATGTCCTTACTTTTTTTAAAGGCTAATCGGTAGTCGAT